CAATTGATGTTTTACGTGCAAACAACCTGAATCTTTTTTTTATATAAATATATATTTTTCAAATAGATTTTTGATTCAGCTCATCATGGAAAACATCCCAAACTTTAAAATTTGAAATTATTGGTTGGTGTGAAGAAAGCCAGACAACTTCTGTTTCTTCTCTTGGTGAGATAATAAAAATGCAAATGAATCATTGTTAACCACAGCTGTGGCTCGTTTGAGGGACTGGGGTGGACCTGGGATATATTTTCAGTAACCCAGCTGCAATACCTGTCTGTAATACTAGAAAAAATATCTATTTAATCATTTCTATTTGCAGTACTGCTATGTGCTAAGCTTAACTGGAAGCCTTGGAGTGGGCATAAGTTGTATGTCCTACATTTCATCGTTGTCCTGGGCCTGCATTGCACTGGAAACATCACCACCTGTTCTTATACCAGTATTTGGTTCAAGATGCCAAATGTTTTCAGCCTCTGGCTGAAGGACAAAAGAGAGGATAAAATGCATACTGAGGGCTGCAAAATGAGGGAATAGGGAGATCCAGGGGAAGAGGGTGTTGCCATAGTCCACTCTCTATGTCTAATCTCTTTACAGCAAATTGGTAAGGTTTTAAGTTTTACTTTTTACTGTTTTTGCTGTCTACCTTCCTTACATTTTTTTCCTCAACACTTTAAAAAGGAAAAAAGGTTCTTTTCTCCTATACTGGGGCTACATTTTTTGATTGTAAAAATATTTGATGGCCTTTTGATGAATGTCTTCCACAGTGAATAAGAAAACTTAGTGGCTTAATTTAGGAATCATGTTAACAAGACACTATGTTTTTGAAATTGTAACAAAATCTACATAAGTGATTTACCAGTACAAAGAATAAAAATAAAGGTAACTTTACCTTTCTTAAATACTTCCTGCCTTAAAGAGAGCATTTCCATGGCTTTAGCTGGTGAAAGGGTTTAATATCTGCAGAGCTTTATAAAAATATGTTTCAGTGCATACTGGTATAATAGATGATCATGCAGTTGCAGTTGAGTCTTACCACCTCTTTTTGTCTTTTATAATGTCTTTAGTCTGAGTGTGCAAAGTCAATTTGTAATATTTTGCAACCCTATGATTCTTTTTTTAAATAGATGCTGCTTGCTATGTTCTCCAAACCTTTTTGAGCCATAGGATCCAAGCCATAAAATTCTTTATGCATGTTGAATTCAGTCAGAAAAGAGCAAAGCTTTGCTTATTTAAATGGCAATTCAAGTGAGATGAGATGAAATCCTATGACATTAAGCAAAAACAGATTCATGAAAAATGATTGGAAATATGTATTTTCAATTGTGGCAATAAATGAAAGAACTGATAACAGTTCATCTTTGAACAGAAAGCGTTTTTAAAAAAATCACTTCTTCTCACCCCTCTTTTCCCATATTGCAGCAGCCTACTGAGAACTTTATAACTGTAGCTAATAAATTAGAAGCTACAATAACGATAAGGGCAGAAATTGTATTTAAAGTGCAGATCTTTGTTCTCTGTCAGTTTATGGTGTCAAAAAACAGACTCTAAAAAGCTGTGGTGATATGTATAGACTCTGTTTCAGACAGTAAATAGCTTGTGATACTCGGATACTTGTTTTCAAATATATTTACTAACTGTAGTGTTGACTGCCTGACCAAATTCCAGCAGAATTTTTACACCAAAATATTCCTCCTCAGTCCTACTTGCTACTAACATTTGCACTGTGATTGGCTGGCTATAAACACCCCATAGTTAAACCATTTTCATAATCAGTACTGCCAGCAATAGTGGCAAACACTGCAACTTTTCTGCATAAAAAGCATTAATTGCACATCTCCCATGCATACAAATACAGTTTTCCAAGTTAACATTAAGGGAAATTAATTTCCAATGCTGTGGCAGGTTTATTGAGAAATTGTGTTTCATAAATGGATATCCCTGCTATGACTGTGAAAACATGTCAAGTGCCACTTTAGTGTCACAGACAGAAAGCACACACCTATGCAATATGGCTTTCCCTATATTTATTTGTAAAAATCCAAGCATAGTTTAAAATATATGTCAATATTACTAGTCTTGAGTTTCTAAGAGGGTTCTTTATGATTCTTCCAGGTAAGTGTATAAAAGAGATTAAGTGCTTTTCTTTCATCACTTGATTATTTTCTTTAAAATCAGCTATTACAGGATATTTTTTAATTTTATATACATGCTGTTTTTTAATTAAAATATAGTCACTGAGAACTAAAGTTTACTAATTTTGATTTTATAAGGTTTGTAGCATTACAGAATAAACTGGGATTTATAAACCAGCTGTGATTAACAATGTGTAAAGTACTATTGAACTTGAACCAGATTTTTTAGAAAATTACATTCTTTTCCCCTTTATGGTCTTAACTATTTTGAATCCTTCAAGAAGGATTTTTCCATGCTATTTTTTTGAGATAGAAGATAATGAAGGTTGGGTGGGGGGATAATGCATGTATGATGCTCCATAAATTCAACATTCTTTAAGTAATAAGTGGTTATAAACAAGATGTATCTTCAGTAGTGTTAATATACTGAGCCTTGGATTTTATATTTAATGTAGGACCTAACTATTTTGGTAACTGAGTCATATGGTTCCTAGCTTACAAGGGCTAGATCTAAGATTATTCCCATGAGAAATGTTGAATTTATGAAGAATGGATTTTGAGGCTTTGAAAATGGTTAATTTCTCAAATAATAACATCAATGTCTAAATATTTACCTTTTTTCATAGGAGTAGACACTAGGCAAGCTAGACAAACTAATCATAAAGGTATTTGTCACACCATGACCTATATAGTCTGTTGCTGATTGATACAAAACTTTTCTTGTGTGATTCTTAATTTACCACTACAGCACAAGTATTATCTCAGTGGATTATCTGAGTTAACACCTGAAAGATGGGTTCATCTGTGTTTGCTCTTTAAACTATTTTTTTCCCTATCCCAAGTTGGCTTTGCATCTATCAGAGTAAATAAATTCTTCAGCTGCCTTATTAGGAGTGCTATGAGGGTAACACCTTTTCTGCTTTTTATCTTGTATTTAGTTTACTGTATTAGGTATTTGATTTCAGATTGAATGAATGTAAATAGAAATTAAATGCAAATTTGAATGAACATAATATAGAGGTGATTTTTTTTATTATCCTAAGATAGGAAGAAATAACTATCAGGTACACAAATGGTTTCAACAATTCTTTCATTAACATGCCAGATATGTTCAGGTTCTCATATTTAGTAAACTACAGTTGACCCTTGAACAACATGGGTTTGAATTGCACGTGTCCACTTACATGCAGAATTTTTTTCAATAAATTTGGCCCTCCGTATCCATGATATGAAGGTCTCTAACTGTAGAGTCAAAAGTTGTATGTGGATTTCAGCTGGGGGAAGCAGGGGTGTTGGTGCCTAATCCTTGCATTGTTCAAGGATCAACTACTATAAGTGTGAGGAATGACTGTTGTAAAACTCTTTGTTGAGAAATTGAAGCTACTTAAATATATGACACGTTTTAGTACTAATTTTATATATTAGATGTTACACATCTGTGATTTCCAAGTTGAATTGGTTGCTTATTTTTTAAAAAGTTCATGTGAAAAGTTATGTGAAAGCTAGCTTCACATAAAAACACTGGGAAGACTTCTGTATGCTAACAGTCAATAGTTTGTTCAGCCACACTTGTCAACTACATTTGATTATTTGATGTGTATACACAAAATAATGTGCACAAATCTGTTTTTAACTATCTTAATATATCTAGCGTAAGATGGATAGTTTTGTATACGTCACTTTTTATTTATGAGGCAATTCTATCACACTTGCCAAGATAATTTCTCTGTAGTTGTTCTCAAACTGACTTGACTTTTTTATAAAACATAGTAGTGACTCTTAATGCTGAAGAAACAGTCTTTCAGAAGGGGTGATCTGAATTCACAGAATACATGGGTAGTTGAATTCTATATTCCCATTTCTGAGGGGAATAGAAGAGAAATGTTTCTAGTTCATCAGTATTGTTAGTGGACGGCATAGGTCTATTGCATTTCCCCCCTTTTAAATTCAGATGTGAAATGCTTTCTTGATTGTTAAAAAAAACCCAAAAAACCCCCACTGTCCACCAGGGACCTCTTTTGTTAGTAAATCATAGTAGGAAACAAAGCTATTCATATTGCCATAGGGTAAGGAGGTATGTAATAGGGTTGAAGTAACCCATGTAGTAATGCTATTGTGTTTTTAACAAGAAGTCAGCTTTTCTCTCTTCACACTCAAATTCTCTTCCCAAATTGCCTTTCTCACACATCCCTTGCTATATATCTAAATAACTATTAGCTTCACCACAGTCAGGAAGGTGATATAAGGCCAAGTAAGCTTGTTTCAATATTTGCAGTGTTCTCAAAGGAGATAATAGTTAAACATATCATCACGGAATGAATAGAAACAGGTGTACTTATAACCTAGCAATATTTACCTGAGGAAAAAAGGTACAGGCATAGAACTGACTTAACCTGTAGCTGGTTGGGCACTACCCTTATCAATCTATATGCTGGTTTAGCCTTTGTCTTACAAACACTGAAGATTTGTTTTCTACCTCTACCTCCTAACTTCTTCCCACTATCTCTTGTGTTCAAACTGATAGGTGGTAATAGAAATAATGGGCAGGGGCCTTGTACTCTAATCTTAAATATAACCACCACTTCAGACTTCTGTTTTAGGTCTTGGTTCCACCTTAAAGGTTTCAAGGGGAGAGAGTACCTTATTCCTTTTTCCACCACACTACACAGGCATTTAAGAGGCAAACCGACCACATAATCCAAAGCACCTGGTTGCCTCTGAGTGCAAGTTTTAATCTCCCAAGTAATGGTGATTCAAGCATTAGATTCCAAAAACTCTTCTGGAGAAGACGAGTTATAAGGGGAATTCTTTTCTAAGATTTGAGTTGGTCTTGTTTGTTACACTATTCAAATCATCAGTAAAGCCGGCTATTTGTAATCCATGTGAATTATTTTAATAGTTATGTCCACACAGTCCATGGCACCGTACAAAAAGCAAGATCATGAACATTAAAACCAATGGCAGGATTGTATGTATGTATGACGCCCACAAACAATAAATTTAAATCATCTATTCTCATTGATTGCTAACCATACTATAGAGAATACAGTATTAAAATATATCACCCTCAGTAAATCTTAGAAAAATCTGATTGTTACAGGTAAAATATAGCATTTAGAACTTTCACTTAAAAATACAACTTTTATGAAAATTTTAAGAATTTTTAGAATGGGAATTATAAAAGTCAATGCTAAAGAAAAGTCTACTTTCAGATAATCTGTATCTTAAAATGTTAAGAAAAATATTCTTTATTCTGAAAACAATGTCAGGAAAAAATACCTGAGTTCCTCTAAGAACTAGTTCTAGTTATCCAATTGCTTTTTGGTAACATGAACAAGAAAACACACAATTTAACACTGCAATCATCTGTCAAATAGGATGGAATACAACACTTAAGTGTTTTGTGGCCTTAACAGTTTATACACTTAATATATTTGTAGGTGTGATGAAGTGGCTCCATCTTTCCACTTGTTTATATGGTCTAATATCACAGTTCTGCACAGCGGACATGTTTTCTCTCTGTTAAACCATAAGGTAATGCACTCTTCACAATATATATGCTGTAAGGGAATTAAGAACTACATTTTAAACTTGATAACATTTTTATTTTAAATTCATCTCATTGTAGACAATCATACTCTTTAAAGCTGAAAGGGATTTTGGAGAGCACTAATCTCTTCATTTTACAAATGAGAAAACAAAGTATGACATTCCAGAATAAAAGAACGGCGTTACTGGTAAGAGCCACTAGTGTTCTTTTGACTATACTATCCACTTAAATCACTTTTAATCAAATACAGGCTATCCCTAGGTGATAACTTTAAGATCAGGTATAATGACTTAATGGTTTAATAAAGTCTTTGAGAGTAACTGCCATAAAGTATAGGAAAGGGCCTTCCACAATCCAGTAACAAATGCTGGTATTATTCTAAAAGACTAATATCCATTATTAAAAACAGCCTGTTTTTTAATCACATTGGTAAACAGTTTGCCATTTGAATGATTTTTCCCCTTCATACACTTCCCTGCATAAAAATCATGAGAACATAAGGGACAAAATTTACCTAATCTACCAAACCCCTAAGCACAAATGAGAAATTACTAGTATGTGCCTTGAATGCTACTTTCTGCGAAACAGTTTTCCTCCTTATAACATAAATGTGCCTTGCAAGTCACAGAGAAGTGTTGTATTTAGGTTGCTTAAAAATATAATTACCTGACAGATGAGAAGAATTGGCTTTTGAAATTCAGCTTGACATATCGAACAAATATCATCCACATCTGAACACTGTCTCTTGCTGGCAGCCACTCCATAACTCTATAAAGATAAGAAGTTCTGTTCGTCTAGACATTTCTATCCTGTTCTTCCAATATGTAGGTGATGCTGTATTTCCCTGGAACTAGGCACTTGAAAACTCTCCCAAAGGATACAAACATGTCAAAGCTGAACTATATATGCAGAACCACGTCTTGATGGACTGCATCAAGGTGAACTCATTAAATACATAATAGGATCTTGAAAGATTTTTAGACTCACTGGTTCCTGAGTAATTACAGGGCTTCAAATTCAACATGATTCAACTGGCTTAAGAGACTAAGCAATCTGAAATATAACCATTATAAAATCTATATATTAATGTATTAGGTGACCTCATATTGCCAAACTGAGCCCACTTATTATCTATGGCAGTGGTTCAAAAAAGTCAATTCAGAGCTTGGCTGACTGAATGTAACTCATGTAGAGAGACTGCTTTAAAAACAGATTTCTGTGCTCTATACTGGAGACCGACTCAATAGGTCCAGACGTACTGGGATGTGACAACAGGAATCTAATTTTTGTAAATTACACTCTCCAAGTGAGTTGAATGTGAAGAAGATTTGGGGACGACCAAATAGTGTCCCACCACTAAATCTAAAAATAATTTTAATTATTATCCTTAGTTATCACAAAAGTCAGAGCATTTGGTACTAGGAAAGAATGATAAAATTTTATAAAAGAACTGTAATTGCAAAATGTCACTTGAATAGTTATACTGTCAAAACTGCTTGAACAATAATGGAATTCTTTGAATTTCCTTTTTTTCTAATGTCCAAAAAGTTTCTGATCTCTAATACTTTAATTCCTCACCAAATTCAGAATTTAGTTATTAACTAGACATGACAAAATGTTACAAATGAAATCAGCTTTCTGTAGAAATTATGGGGGAAAGGTGGCTAAACAGAAAAATAAGACCACCCAAGTTCAATCTGTCATGGTAATGAGAGCAAAGCATGACTTGACTCAACAATCTGAAGCTATGAGCTAAACTTCTTGTTCTAAATATGGAGGGTTAACAGAATCAAATTAAAACACGTGGTAAAATTACTAAGAATTAAGATTTTTCAGGTTACTGATGGTTTACCTTGGTGCCAATTTCCCTTCAGTGTCAGCAGAGTATACTATAGATACTTAGACTGACAAGCTTTTAAATTAGCACTTTTGTCTGGCATTTTGCAGGCTCCTTTCAAGTAAGGTTTATCTTGATGGTGACTGTCATTTCCCTGGTAAAGTTAAGGAACATAATCTATACATGTCCATGTATATGTTCCTAAGAACTCAAGAATAAATGAAAGAGTACTGATGATTGTGATATTCTTTCCATGCTTCACATAGAGTATCAAGCTATTTCAGCACAGGCCTTACTAGATTAAAGTAAAATGGCTCATACATAATGAATTCAATAATTTCACCAAGCTGAACACTCCATTATATTGCATCTTGTCTGAAGAATGAATTCTGAATAGTATGCAGCAAAACTTATTACTGTATTACTGTATCTTAGGGAAAGGGTGCCTTGAACCAGTTAGTATGATCCACTTTGGAGATACAATCCTTTGTGTGTTTTCAACATACATCATTAGGTTGGTATTCTTTTAGTCAGATCCCGGGTCCTGGCAAAGTAAGTACCTAATACACTGCAAAACTGAGGATCAAACTCTGAAATCTGTTGACCACAAAGGCTACTAAATAGCAAATGAAATTTGTACCCTTTGCCTGAAATTTGTACCATCAGTAGAATCCCATAAAAATCAAGTTTATAGTGGACACTGGAGTGTCAATTCATTGTTAAATTCCATGCCTTGAACTTATTTGTGCATAGACTTGAGTATGGGGGGAGGGGGGGGATTTATCCGGTAAGAAAATACTAAGGGACATGATTTTTGATTAATGAGCTTTTTTCACATATACAGTAAGTTACACTGGAAGTGCTTTCATAGAACCTGAATAAGGCGTTAATGGAGTGCACAAAGCTACCATTTGTAGATTTAAAAAGAGGGACAAGAGTTCATGATACGATTTTTAAGGGAATGTGTGTAAACCCTTAAGTGATTAGGAGGAGAAGGCACATTCAAATACACAAACACTGCGTCACCTTCCCGGTTCATCAGAGAGTGCGAGTCCAGACACTGACCACAGATAAAACTCCTAAGTCATTCTCACAGCCCTAAGTGCCAAAGTACTAGAAAAGTTTTAAAAAACGTAATTATGAAATCCACATTTGTAAAATAGCTGAATTAAATTTTTTTTTTGTAATGAAGAAAGGTTGAAAGAGTTTTTTCTTAAAGGATTAAAAAGTACTTACTGGTTGTGTAAAAAATACTCGCAAAACCCGTCTGAAATTTCTTAGATGTCCAAAAAAGTCCAAAAGCTGAAAGAGGAAATAAATAAGAGATTATTCATTAATTCAAAGAGCCGTATCTGCTAAACCCAGAGATCAAAGCTAAAGTGCCATAATATCAAACACTGATAACTTAATGTTCATCGCATATCACAACTAATCATTTCCTAAATATATTTAAAGTCCAATTATGAAATATTTTACTCAATTTATATTCAACCAACTCTTAACCAAAAAAAAAAAAAAAAATAGTACATCTGAATATCAGGTACAATTTGGTCAAGACAAATATAAAGTTAACTATGTCAAAGACAAGACAATTTTACCTGGTTCAGATGTTTTTAACATATTTAGACTTTAAAACTTCATAAAGTGATTAAGCTGAGGGTATTCCACAAGTAACCTGAAGATACTCTACTAGTTTCAGAATTATGTGTATGACAGATGCTACTGTTGGAGATGGGTATGCCTCATCTTACTTGCCCTACCACTTCCCCATGTCTTAGATAACCTATGCTATGTGGAAGTCCACTCCCCTAATAAAATCTGAACTACTGGATTAAGATAAAGATCTATATTTCCATTTCTCCATTTCTAACTAGATATAGAACCTGTTATGTCAAACTAGTGATAAGATAAACTGTACAACAGTTCAAGAGAAAATCAATAGTAAGTAAAATCTTTAATCATTATATGAATCACACAATGACAAGATTAATAACGTTACCTACTTTTAGTATGAGGTAGAGTAAAGCCAGCAATATCCCAAGACTCCTTCTAGTTATATTACCAAACTCCCCATAGCTTATAAGGTAACGAAACCAAACTGGTATGGGAACAAAAGTTCGGTAATACTGACATAATTCTTCCAAAAGCATATACCAGTAACCCTAAAAAGGAAGGAAAAAGAAAAGTTACCCTTGCTACTTCTATACATTGCACAAATACTTAATATTGGACTGAGAACATTATGAGTATATGGATTAATCACACAAGTAACTAGAAAATTAATCTTCATAATGATAATGGTTATGACTGACTCGACCTGGTTCTCACATTATAGTCAGTGGTTTGTCTGCAGAGAACTAAAGAATGACATAGTGAAAATGTTTTATGTATACCACAAGTAAAACTTATGTATGTTTTTGAAGTTTTTATTGAATATGGGAAAAACAGTAACAGCATACAGTTGGTTATCAAATATCAACTGATAATGCCCTGGAGGAGAACAAAAGTACAAATCTAAATATTTTTCCATATATGTGGGAACTGATTTTAAAATGATTCTGAAGCAAATATAATTCTGACTTTTTTTTACTAGATTAATATTTTGGAGCAAATGGTTGGCAGTCTGAGATAATATAATTAAAATTAGGTTGAGACTAAACAGCAGTAATGAGTTTGCTAATATCCTACCAACAAAACCCGTTAGTTTCTTACCTTGGATTTAAAAGGCGTGATGAAAGAAGGCACCAATAAAATTAGGCATTTTAAGCCCATGCAGAGGAATTTCAAGATGAAGTCTGTAATTCCAACAACCCAAAGTACTTCCCAGAAGCTCGAATGGTCCAAAGTAGGATTTAAAAAAATTAAGCTACCAACAGAAAAACATCAAAACTTATCAGAGCAACATACAAAGGTAAGGTATTCATAGGGGTTTTTAATTTGCTACGGAATATTTATTTTGATGTGTACAAAAAATGAATTTGGCAAGTGTTAGAGTTCACTTAAACAGAACAGATTGTTTTGCTTATTTTAAAGAGACATTTAAAATGTATGAATTTCATATCTTTCCTCCATAGTATAAAGAAAAGAATAGTCTTCCTAACTTGTTATGGTTGATACCTTTCTAGCTTATAATCTAAAAAAATTCTCTAATATTAGGTATCTGCCACTCTCTCAACCAGCTCCAATCAGGATTCCATTCCTGCCTTTCCACTGATTTGCTTTTGTCAAGATCACCAACTACCTCCATCTTGCTAAATTCAAAGGTCATGTCCCTTTTTCCATTTCTCTCCCTGAATTATTTTCTTCCTAGACTTCTAACACTACACTCCCTGGTTTTCATTTGTGACTGGTGGTTCCTTCTTAAGTTTCCTTTGCTGCTGCTCCTCTAATTGTGGGCATGTCCAGTCTTGGGCCCTCTTCTCTGACTATACTTTCTCTGGTTAGTTTTGGTTTTTAAAATATCAATCATGTGCTAATAACACCAAAATTTACAGCCCTAACCTTTACTGTGAGCTCATGACATATATCTATAATCACTTTCTTAACAGTTCTACACGGCCTCTCAAACTTAATATGTTCAAAACAGAACTATTGATTTTCCTCTCAAAACCAGTTACTTTCCCAATCTTCCTGAGCCCAGTAAATGGTACCACACTATTCAGCCAGTTGCTTAGACTAAAATCCTAAGTGTCATCCTTGATTTTTCCCCTCTGCCTACCCACCCAATCCAATCTGAATGATATTAGATCCACCTACAAACTATATCCAAGACTGTCCACACCTCTCCAACTCTACTGAAAACCAGGACTTCTAATTATCTGATTAGAGCCCAAAATTCAGAACACTTCCATCTAACATGGAAACTTAACTACTGTCCTTTAGCAAGTCTTCTCCTTGGTTCTAGAAACAAAGATCATGTTCTCATCACATAATGTATACATATATCAAAACATCATGTTGTACAACTTAAATATATACATTTTATTTGTCAAAAATAGAAATCAAAAAACAAAAAAGACCACCACCACCAATATTAACTAAATGGTACAAATCTGAAAAAGTCACTTAAAGCTTTCAATCTTGGAAGGAGACAGGTAAAACTGAACTCTAATAATAAGTATGTGCAAGTAAAATATATGCAAAATGGTAAGGAATATATTATTACATTAAAAATGTGATTGTGTACTTGGACCTTTAATTACCTGAGATAAAGTGACTGAGAATGAAAGGTGTAATATAAAAGAACAGAAGATCCTGCTAATAATACCAGCAACCAAGCACATTGAATCTTTGAGCACCTTTCCTGAAAAATAAACAATTTTATAATTTATTACTTTGGATTATGCCAGAATTTTAAATATCATAAAACTGTTTTACTTTAATGACTTATTAACTTAGAATGTTTTAACAAACTTATTAAAAATATAGAATATCTATTAAATTATACATCATCACACTATATACCTTTAGTAAACAACTCATATTTAAACAAATTTTTAAAATACAAATTTCTTCACTGTATAAAAACATTACCTGTTTCAAAGAGGACAAGTCATCTACAAGTTGACATAAAGGGCCCACCCAAATGCATACTTGACCTCTGGAGCTCCCTATTTTTACCTCCCCAACAAACGTTAAAAAATGTATTTAAGTTATCAGGGTTTATAAGCATAATTTTAAAATTCTCAGGCATTCAATAAGAATTTAATAAGGCATTTTTTTTTAAAGTTAAGTTTTAATTACTAATTTAATTAAAAGTTTTACTAGTTTTAAACCCTGAATTAAGTTTTCGTGGTTTGATAGGTTCTAGCTACAAATTTCCAGGTCCGAATGCATGATCCTTACATAGATATCTCCCTTTAAAGGTACTTAAAGGTGAAATTTTATAAACTAATCCTAGTTTTCCCAATAATTTATATGAATAGGACTCTTATAATTTATGTTTTGAAAACACTTCTTGGGTTTAATTTTCTTTAAGAGAGACCTAAATAGTTCAATACCCATTTATTCAATGTACATTTTGTTTTACTTTAAATCTGACAGTGTGACAGCTAAAGTTTTTAAATGATCATATTACTACTTGTGGTTTAACTCATAAAACTTGAAGGCACTTGACAAATAAAATAGTACATTCTAAACTTTTTAATCTTGTCCAGTTTTTCTCTATCAAGAACCCAACTTAACAATTCAGCTATAGGACAGGTCATTTTTGCCAGGTCATTTAGATAACAAAACTTAATATAGATGTTATAATATATCTTTAAATTTGTCAAACTATCTTAATTCCTATTTCTCTCAAAAATGAGTATATAACCTATAGAGAGAAACATTTAGTAATTTTTTAGTTGTTTGTTATACTTACTCTTAGAAAAACCTGATTTACAATGCTTTTGTCTGCATACATAAAAGTTGTAAGCAGTCCAATTCCAAGAGAAATTCCTGTTAGATAATAAGTTCCAGTTAATTGCCAAGAAAAAAAAAATCAAAGAGCCAACACAATGACATGAATTTAAAGGAAACATTTACAATTTTAAAAGCTGGCAGAAAATAAGGAACCAAAAATACATAGGTTAAAGTAGATTACCAATAAAGAAAATTTTCTGAATTTAGCAATGAAACAAATATTATACCATACCTGTCATATGCTGCATAACAAGTTTGACACCCAGAATCAAAATATATGGAAGACTCTTTTGTAGCCACTTGAAGAGAGATCGGAATTCTGAATAGGAGCTACTACCATGATCTCCAGACTCCATGAAAGTATCATCAGGCTGTCTTGCTTGGTTATGGGAGTGATTCTGTAAGCGACTATGTACACATCCATGGCTACAGCTATGGACACCTGACCTTGTATTTCTGGAGTTTGGATTATCAGCACATTCTTTAGGTATGGAGTTAATCTGGATATGCACGTCTCCAGAATGAAGACAAGAACCTTCTGTCAATCTTGTGTGGACACATTGGGAGGCTGAGGCATCCTCACTGCCTGCAGCTCTTTGGCTACAGTTGGCTTGCATGACCCTTGAATACTTTTTTGTAATGCAGATTTCTTTGCTTCAGGTCTCGGTCTTCTAAAAATCAAAGAGCAGAAAATATTCTAAGTGAACAGTTAAGTACAGGTAATATACTGCTCACTAGCAATCCTTTATTCACTAAAGGAGAGGCTGATAATCACAGTAGATGAGTTATTTTCAGGTTATCACTTGTTACTAGACTCCTCCATTAATAACAAGGCTCTGCTGCCCTACACAAAATATCTTAGGTAACATCTGCTACAAAAGAAGTTGAACTTAAGTCGCCTCCAGTTCTCTAATAAGGAATCAGCAAAATAGAGTATAGGTACCCAGTAATGTGACTAATGTGAGCACTAGTATTCATATTTTAATACTTCAGTACACTTACTCTGCCCACCTGGAGCAGTTTCATCTCATAAGAATCATGCTTGTTAATGCTTGGAAAGGCTAGGGAGAAAAAAATTAAATCGTAATGCCTTATTAAGTACATCATGGAGAACTAATAAACATTTCACTTAGGTGACCTATAAGTTTGTCTTATGCTGAAACAGCTTTCCCAAAGCTAATAAAAAGGCTTCCAATAAATACCCAAAGATTACCCAAATACCTTTAAAATAGGACGACTTGAGGAGTCACCGTGTAATTAGTAGACAACTCTAGTCTGAATAAGGATAGTTACACAGTCTGCTCATTAAAAATGCCACCATCGGGGTGGGGGGAGCGTCAAGAAAGGGCACAGGTACGAAAGAACCCCAAAGTGGCCAGCGTGGGCAGCCGCCGGGGATGGCAGCGTGGGAATCCCAGCCTGCCCTTTCCGTAGGAAGAAGCCAGGGTAACCGGCAGGTCATTCTATTTCATTAGTAGGTTTCAATTTTTTTTTTTTTCAGTTACCGCACCGAGGTCTGGCTTTTAGTTCCTTTCGCTAAAAGCTTTCGCCGATGCTCCGACGCCACGGGTGCGATGTATTTACTCAAACCTCTGAAGACCAACCCTGGATGCGACAGTTTGTTTCAGTGGCTTTTCCATAAATCCATAGAACCCACCCACTTCCCTCCACGCCAGAGCAAGAAAGGGGAGAAAAAAGGACCGAAGAAAAGCAAACGCAAGCAACTCTTTCCGGAATCCCCAGGACAGACTTTTCTACCCACATTCGAGCTTCGAGTGTCTCAGTTATTCTCCCCAGAGCCCATTCGCCTGGGCCTCCGCCCGCTTCCCCCAGGCCTGACCTCTCATGACGACGAGCGGCCCGACGCGTCGGCAGTAACTGCAGCAAGAGCGCGAGACGTGGCCGCCCGGCCCTCCGTCAGGGCCATCACCTTCCAGTTCCCCGACCCGACTCCGGCCCAGCTCGGCGGACGCGGAGGCGGTGGCGGCGGCGCGCGCGCCCCCGTACGTCCTCACGTG